TGTACACTCTTTTTATCTCCATGTTAATCTTCTTTTTCCCAGTCCTTACTATTCTTGACACATTTTTTGCTTAAATGTTCATTAACAATCTCATTATGGAGCTCCCCTCATTAGATGATCTTACTTGATCTTTCAACATCCAATTGAATATATGGAATTACACCTCTTCTTCTTCCTCATGTAAGTTGTATACATAAAAGCATTATTTGCTTACTTTTATACATAAACAGAACACATATGTTTATTCACTTCACATTTCATACATTTTTCAGGGGAGATCTCTTGCGACAATAAATAACAGAACTTACTCTTTTTTTTTTTTCCTTCTTCCTTAGATCATAGCTCGAATACAAGATTCATTATCACGAGTTAACACACGGCCCCACTCAACTCGAACCAAACCTCTTGAAAAACCCGGATAATGAGCCCGTGATGTTCGTCGCCATTCAACGTGAGGTAACAAGCCAAAAGCTCCTCGAGCTCTTCCGGCCGTTTGATCCCTTGCTCGCAAATCATCTCAACCATCGATTTTCTAAAGTCTTCTCCCGGATTATAAGAAGTCTTAACCTCCGCAAAACTATCGTACATTGTCCCACCGCCATTCTTCATAATCTCCTTCCTCCTCGGCCGAATTTTCGCTCTCTTCAAATCCTCAAGATCCCACTTTGGCGAATAAGCTCGATTCTTTTGCTTCATTTTTCTTCTCAGACGAGACCTCATCATCCTATATTCCGATTCTTCATCACTTGTCTCGTCCGAAAAATCATAGTCTTCCGAAAAACCGAAACCATCAGAGTCATCATCAACCGGCAAATCTTGATGAAATTCTTTCTTCTTTCGAACTCTGCTCACTTCTTCTTCCTCCACCGGAAATATAACTTTCTCGACGGGCTCGTCGGGCCTCCTCCGGCCCGAATTCCTCCGGCGACTCCCGAGTTTCGGGCCCAAGCTTGGGATGACCGGAATACGAGCCTCCTCGCCGGAGCTCGACGGAGAAGGTGGAATTCCGGTTATGCCCTTGGCGTGTTCGTCGTGAAAGGAAAGCCTCCAGTAAGCGTCGTCATCGTCACCGTCCACGCTGTAGAACCGAGCCTCTCGGGGGAAATTGGGCTTTGCTCGGTTTTGGTCTATGGTCGGGTTTGGGTCGGGGCTGGTGGGCCTGGGCTTGAACTTGGAAAACCAAGAGCCTGGGAAAACACTGCTGATTATGGATGCATGAGATGAAGGTGGATATTTTTTTACCCCACAATACATTTTTTTTTTTTCTAAATGTAGAAATATTAGGGAGTGTTTGTATTTGTATTTGGGATGTTGTGAGATTTCTGGGGTTTGATAGGGGCTTTGAAGAGGTGAAGATGGGGGAAATGGAGG